TCTTGCAGAAGACCCAGGTGCGAATCCCAGTACCCATGTGGCAGCTAACAACTGTCCATAACTCCAGTCCCAGGGGATCCTCTTCTGGCCTCTTCTGACCTCTGAGGGCATTGCATGACATGGGTGCACTTACCTACATGCAGGCAATACACGCATACACATAAAAAAAAAAAAAGTTTAAAAAAGTTTAAAAAAAATCAAATGTTGAGCATATTTTCAGGAAAAAATGACTCTAAAATCCATATGAAACAGAAAAGTGCCAAGAACAGCAAAACTGACTTTGAAGAACCAGGTAAGGGAAAAGCAGAATTGACAAATGGTTAAGCAACTGAATCAATGGCACAAAAGACCCTAAAGATGAAACCCACCAGGTAGCTCATAAACATGTGTTAACTCCAGTTCCAGGAGATCCGCCACCTTCTTCTGGCTTCCATGGGCACTGCATGCATGTGGTGTACTTACATACGTGCAGGTAAAACTCATAAAATAAAAATGTTGTAAATAAATAAACAAACATAGAGACAAAAAAAAGCACAAATAAAACGAAAAGACAAGCCAGAGAGCAAAAAGTACTAGTGATGTGAGTAACTGGAAAGGACACCAAGAGTATGTGAACAGCAACAAAACAGCAACCCAACAGAGCAAAGGAAACAAACGGACACAACCCAGCAGAGAAACCCCAAGTAGTCAATAAGCATATGAAAATAGCTTATCACTAATAAGGGAATGTAAATTGCTAAAAATCTGGGATAGCATTTCAAAGACTGGCAAAAACGTGGATGCCTGATGGGGAGAAAAGGGATGTAAGATTTTTTCTCACAAGTGGTGAGAATTTAAATTAAAATAACCACTTGGGTTGAAGACACTTTAATCCTACAATGTAACAGTTCCACATTTTGGTAAACAACCCATGTAGAACCTTATTCATGTCCACAGAAGACAGGTACGACAAAGGATGATGATCATAAGACGATTCATATAAGCAGAGAAATCAGAAACTCTTACACAGCTCTCCACAGAGAGTATTTGCAGTACAGTTATACAACAGCATATTTCTGCAGTTGAAATGAACAAATCTAATGTACAAATACCAACATGTTTAGCCTCAAAAACAAAATGGTGCCAGACATGGTGGTGCACACCTTTAATCCTAGGATTTGGGAGGCAGAGGCAGGTGAATCTCTGTGAGTTCGAGGCCAGCCTGGTCTACACAGAGAGTTCCAGGACAGCTGGGGCTACAGGGAGACCCTGTCTCAAAAAGACCAAAACAAAACAAACAAACAAAAAAAAACCCAAAAAACCCACACAAAACGGACTGAGAAAAGCAAGCTAGAGAACAGAATGAGCCCATTCTCATGCACCTCGAAATCTGCGAAACAGCAGGTCTGCAGATGCAAACACAGAAAGTCTAAAAGCATCTGGGAGAATAATAAATACAGATTCATGAGAATGGTTACCTTTAAGGAGGCAGATGAGCAGGACTGGGTGTGGAGGGAGCAAAGGAGGCGTCAACCGTGCTCCTACTGGACAGACAGCTAGAGACACACAGTGTTAAACTGAAGACAACGGGGATGCAAGCAGTGTTGTTTTTCTATATTTAATGATTTCCTATACTTCTACATATTTGAAATATCTTATGATATACATTTCCTTAACAGAAAATACATTTAAAAAAAGAACTGAGACTGCATACTGAGACCAATACCTTTCAAAAACAAAAAGACAAGTGAAGGGCTGGACAGATGCTCAGCAGTTAAGAGCACTGGTTCCTCTCCCAGAGGACCCAGGTTCAGTTCCCAGCACCCACATGGCAGCTAACAACATCAATAACTCCAGGTCCAGATCTTATACCCTCTTCTGGCTTCTTCAGACATTGTAAATGAGTGCACTTACATACATGCAGGCAAAACACTCCTATACATGAACTAACAATAAATGTTTTAAAAAGACAAGTGGAACAAACACACGAAATCTGACATTGTTTATATACTATGTAAAACAAACAATTTTAGGGGCTAGAGAGAAATGGCTCAGCAGTTAAGAGCACTGACCTTGAAGAAGACCGGGGTTCGATTCCCAGTACCCACATGGTGGCTAACAACTGTCTGTAACTCCGACATCCTCTTCTGCCTCTGCAGGCATTGCACGACACAGGTGCACTTACACATATGCAGGCAATACACACATACGCATAAAATAAAAATAACAAAATACTTAAAAAACAATTTTACGGGCTGGAGAGATGACTCAGTGGTTAAGAACACTGGCTGCTCTTGCAGAAGACCCAGGTTCAAATCCCAGCACCCACATGGCAGCTAACAACTGTCCGTTAACTCCAGTTCCAGAGGAGCTGACGGCCTCTTCTGTCCTCTGCGGGCATTGCACGACATGGGTGAACTTACTTACTTACATGCAGGCAACACACGCATACACATAAAATAAAAATCATAAAATATTTAAAAAAAACAATTTTAAAGCTGTTTGCACAGAACTCCATGACGCCAGAATTACAGTTCCCCTCTGCGTAGGAAAGGGAAGCAAAGGACCAGGGAAGGCTACAGCTAAATCTACAATATGATTTCTAAAGCAAATATTGAATTTGTTACAGCTTGGTAGTAGGAAATTTTTAAATAAATCGTTATTTACAGGTTGTGGTTCTTTGAAGGAAACTGTCCCCCAGAGGCTCCAAGTATTTGGACATTTTGTCCCCAGTTGGTGGGGCTGTTCTGGGAGGTCTTAGAAGGTGTGGCCTTGCTGGAGGAAGCACGTCACTGGGGGTGGGCTTAGAGAATTTTTAAGCCTTGTCAGATTTCAGGTCTCTCTCTGCTTCCTGTGCCTGTTTGAAGATGTGATCACTTGGTTTTGGGCTCTGGCCACCTTTGCCACCATGCCTCCCTGCCACTGTGGACTCTTACCCCTGGAACCACAAGCTCAAACTAACTCCTTCTTCTGTGAGTTTGCCTTCGTCATGGTGTTTTATCATAGTGACAGAAAAGTTAACTAAAAAATCATATTTACATGTGCATATATATATATATAAATAATAGTAGCAACAATAGGAGAAAAAAGAATAGTTAACACGTGAACATATTATGTACTAGACGCTCCTGTACATGTGAAATCCTAAAAATAACCAAAATACAGATGCTATTCCTAGTCTCCTGTTAGAGAGGAAAAACTGGAGGTAAAATTGGTCCCAGGTTATAAAGACAGTACCCAGGAAAGGAAGGTGAGAAGCTAGATGCAGCTGCAGAGCTCAGAGTTCAGTATCTGTGCTGCAATATCACTCTATTCTCTTATGTATGCTGGAAATGTTTCATGAAAAAATGTTTGGCCTGTGACTATAAAGACACCATGCATGCACACTAGATCTAAAAATAACAAAAGAATTCTAGGAATGTCTTTTCAAGACCAGCATCCTGTCTAACTTGCCAATTCATGTCTCAGGTTTGGTACTTCTAAGGACTACCTCATGGCCAAACATGACTTCTTCACTAGCCCCTGAAACGGCCTACACTTTGAGTCCTTGAGAACATACTATGGAGACAACTATGTAGTTCAACCACCTCTCTCATTATCTTTCAAGTCTGAAAACCACAGTAAGAGTTTTTAATAAGCAAGTCTAGCAAGAAATTTAACAGTCCAATTATTGTTTTTTCCTATTTTCTAAATTATTAGTTATTTTATTATTTTTTTTTTGGACTTTTTGAGACAGGGTCTTCCCGTAGGCCCAGTTGGCTTGGAACCTGCCATGTAGGCCAGGCTGGCCTTGAACTCACAGAGATCCACCTGCCTCTGCCTCCCAAGTCCTGGGATTAAAGGCATGCGCCACCATGTCCAGCAGTCACCATTTCTTTAAAGGGTCCCTTTCTTCTCAAACTGTAAATCCACCTTCTTACTGCTTTTATTTACTAATTTTTAAGATGTGCATTCAAAAAAATACTTTTAAGTTTTTGCTTTCTAAGAGTTCATTGTTTAGTAGGAAGAAAAGATAGGTGAACAGAAAGTACATTAGAATAGTCATAAGTACTTAATAAAGTGTGTCAAAGGTCTTAGAGAACCATGAGCAATGGAAAGGCGGGTGCACTGGACAGAAGGAAATGTGAAAGAAGAGCAGAACAGAACACTCCTTAAAGAAAATCTCTTCTACAAGGAAGACGACAGGGAAATGGGGGATTGGATCCTCCAACTGGTTTCCTTGACTACTCCTAAGACTAAATCTCAGCTGGGTATTTACCATACACATGCAAGTCATGTAAGATTTTGAAGATTTAAATAAGATAGGCATTTATGAATTTAATTAGAGAGAATAAAAATAAATGATCTTGAAAATTCTGTATAGATTTAAAATTCTCCAGTTCAGCCGGGCGTGATGGCGCACGCCGTTAGTCCCAGCACTGGGGAGGCAGAGGCAAGCGAATCTCTGTGAGTTCCAGGCCAGCCTGGTCTACGTAGTGAGTTCCAGGCCAGCTCAGGCTACAGAGACCCTGTCTCAAAGACAAAAAAAAAAAAAATCTCCAGTTCTATGACTCTTCAAACTCAAAGGTATATCACAAAATATTAATTATGCAAACAAGAAAACCAAGACCAGAGAGTTTATATGACTGCATTCTAGTTGTTTGTTTTTTTGTTATTCAAATAATTCTTAATCTGGCCACAAGTGAAATTTCCACAAAAGGCAGTGCCCTTCTATCAGAGATGGGAACAGTGGTTCTCCCCCCAAACCTTGACTTCCAAAGAATCAATAAATGATTATTTTCTGATGATGGAAATAAGTTGCTTAAGAGCCCACAGTTTGGAAATTCAAATCATCTTTTAAAATGGTCTATACAAATACGTGCATTTTATACTTATTACAAAATATTTGTCAATTATCTTCACTTTGAAATATTAATGTACAAGCTCATACAGAAGTTTTAAAAACCTAAGATCTGCTCTTACAGCAACGTGCACTTTTTCACTATCGCACATTCTGAAATTCGTAATGAGGTTTCCCTTACCTGGTACGGACACGGGATGTGATATTCTCTGCAGCGCTCTTGGATCCATGTTGTTTCCCAGATGCCACGGTAAGCTTGCTCGTAAAAGTAGCACCCAATAACAACCAAGAGTGGGACGAGATAAAGGATGCTGAACACGCCAATCCGGATCATGAACTTCACTAGTTTGTCTTGGTTCTCCTTCTCTAGTGGAATCTCAATTCGAACTCTGTTTAGAGATATGATGCCAGCTAACAGAAGGGAAACCCCAACTACCACATACAGGCAGAGGGGTGCAAGAACAAAATATCTTAATGCATCAACATCGTAGAGGCCAACAAAACACACGCCACTAATGTTGTCACCTTCGATTTTATTCATGGCTAAGAGGATGATAGTGAGAGTTCCAGGGATGCCCCATGCGCTGGCATGAAACAGCAGTGCCTTCTTCTCGATAGCTTCGCTACCCCACTTTGGCACAGCTGCTAAAAACCACGTGATGGTAAGAATGACCCACCACACACTGCCAGCCATAGTGAAAAAGTAGAGCACCATGAACAGCATGGTACAGGCTTTGTTATGAGATCCTTGGGTCACTGTGGAAGCCTTATACTGAGCAGGACTGGATGCATTGCAGGCTACGCGGTCCTCAAGTAAAAACCCAATGAAGAAGATTAGCGATACCATCATGTAACAGACCGCATAAAATATTATAGGCCTTTCAGGGTAACGGAATCTTGTGACGTCAATCAAAAAGGTTAAAAAAGTAAACAGCGTGGCAGACAGGCAAATGATCGAAATCAATCCTATGAAATAGCGCGCAAAGGACAGCTCTTCTTTCCTGAAGTACATATTTGGACATGGCGGTGAGCAATCGCGCACGTGCAAGAAAGAATAACCAAGATCAGGATCAATTTTCAGCTCTCGGGGACACCAAAAACCATAGTCCCTCTGCACTGCCACTGGGGCGCCTTCAGTGGGATCGCCAACTAAATTCAGATCCACAAGTCGAGGATATGGCTCATCACAATCTGGAAACCTGAAAACAAAAGATGAAGGCCATTTTTACTTCCAGGGACATCCGATGTCACTTAGCAATTTCAATTTCTAAATTCAGCACCCATAGCCTCACTGATTCCTATCTCTTTGAAATAAATAGGAATAAAGTAAATGGCACTATCTCAGGGGCGGGGAGTAGAAATTTTAAATGACGTGGTCTTGAACTTGATTTTGTTTTACCTTCAAAATCAGCACTGTATTACAATACTCAAACACAGCCATCAATTATAAAACACATATATATTTAATTAAGACACACAGTTTTTAGAACATGGTTTCCAAGTATGACAGTAAATACAGATGCCATTATATAGTACCAAGAGAACAGTAGCTGGAAGTTTAAACCCAAGATTTAAAAACCTTCATTAAGGGCTGGAGAAATGGCTCAGCGGTTAAAAAGAACTGGTTGCTCTTACAGAGGACATGGTGGCTAACAACAGTCTGTAATTCTAGTTCCAGGGGATCCAATACCCTCTTCTGACTTCCGTGGGCATTGCACAACATGGGCACTTACACACATGTAGGCAATACACTCACACACAGAAAATAAAATTAATTTAAAAAATTTCATTGAACCCATGGCCCAAGGTGCTGTTAGATTAGTATTAGATAGCCTTACAAATGACTCAGTTTTGAAATTCCATATCACTCTCTAATTATCCCTTTTTTGTGTGGGAGGAATTACTGGACATAGAATCCAGGGCTTTTTGTATACACTGAGCAAGTACTCTACCACTAAGCTACCCACCCAGCCCAGACTCTGCTTATTTAACTGGCTAGCTAAAGGGCTTCTAAGGTCTTTTAAGGTCACCTAGTTCTTCCCTACTATCCAATTTCTCTCCAACCCATTGTATTTTCTAGTTCAGTGATTTTCAAACTATGATGTACAGAAAATTGAGGATTTTTTAAAGTGAAAACTCTATCCTCGTAAATTACACTTCAGAATGCTATAAACTTCCCTCTTAGGACTGCTTTCCTTGTATCCCATAGATTTAGGTGCATTGTGTTTTCATTTTCTTTTGCTTCTAGAAATGTTTAAAATTCTCATAAACTTATCTGCTTAATGTCTTAATTCTCATTAACTCATCTGCTCTATTTTCTAATTATTTAAAATTTTATTTACTGTGTTCCAACTTTTTTCTCTCTCCATATATATATATATATATATTTCAAATTCTCCCAAGTCCTTATCTGCATGCTAGTATCTTTTTTGAGACAGGGTCTCCATGTAGCCCCAGCTGCCCTGGAACTCGCTATGTAGACCAGGCTGGCCTCGAACTCACAGAGATCCAACGGCTTCTGCCTTCCCAAGTGCTGGGATTAAAGGCATGCACCACCATGCCTGGCTCTCACCACATTTTTGCCCAGCTTAAATCTGTCTTTCACATTGCTCCTTGTTACCTTTTAGATTACCTGAGTAGGGGTTATATAAATATATTCATTTAACATTTACAAATTCAACAAATGTTGAGTATCTGGTACACCAGACTCTATTCTAAATGCCAAAGAGAAGCAGCAAACAGAACAAAATCTCTGTTCTTATGAACTAAAATTCTGTCAGTAAAGGTGCTGAGGGGAACTAATAGAAAATTTCGTTACCAAGACAAGTGGTCATGAATAACAAATAGAATAGCTATGGTTTAGGAATCATTAACTGTCAAGCATAATTTATTTGTAAGAAGTTGGATAGATCAGTCCATTTGGAGATCTAAATAAATAGAAAGAATGAGTTCAAATTGTTAGCAAAAGTATTAGTTCAAGCAACAGGCGCGAACTTTACACTAAATAAAGAAAAAAAGTGAGGTTAGGAAGGAAGGTATTTAGTCAAAGAAGTCTGAGGGTGTCCATGAAGTCGAAGGACGAGTGTTAGTCTGCATGTCCCCACACCTCCTGTGTTGAGACAATCCTCACTGTGATGGCATTAAGAGAGGGCCTTTGGGGAAGCGATTAAGTAATGAAGGCAAGGCCCTCCTGGATTAAAGCCCTGATAATAGAGGCTTCAGAGAGTTCGCATGCCCACCCTTCCGCCATGTGAGGGTGCAGTATTCCTCCACTACCTAAAGCCAGATCACAAACAAAACTAAAGAAGGAGAGATGAATATTGTACCTGGTAACAACCTAGATAACCACCAAAAGGAAATGGCTAAATAGCTATAGTATAATAATATAATTACCTATTAGATATTAACTTGTAATTAGTAATCATAAGAAATGAACAAGACCTAAAGATATAAATAAATGGGGAAAAACATTTTGTTGGGCTGGTTGTGGTGGCGCGTGCCTTTAATCCCAGCACTTGGGAGGCAGAGGTAGGCAGATCTCTGTGAGTTCAAGGCCAGACTGAGCTACATAGTGAGTTCCAGGCCAGCTGGGGCTACAAGGAGACATTGTCTCAAAAAGACCAAAAGCCCTCTACAATGATATTTAACCTCTCCATAGAATTTGTCCATCTACATGTTTATAACAGGCTTAGACACCTTATTAGATCATCTCTTCAGAGCCAAAAACAAATGCTCAAATGACAATCTCACAACCTAAAAGCTAAGCACCTTTACACCAGTATTTCCCACCAGGGCCGCGGGGTACAAAGAGAAATTTTTTCAAAAAAACCAAAAAAAAAAAAAAAAAATTTGTTTAAGGATAGTGTATATGTGTATATATGGCTACCATATATAACAACAAAATTGTTAATAATAAATAATAAGTAGTTAATATCTTTACCACAATGTCACCTCATCTTGGGGAAAAAAGAAAATGAGATCAAGACCAGTACCAACCAAAACCAGAAAACCCTTAGAGAGCTGTTTTTTTCTTCTGAGGCAGGGTCTCACTATAGAGCTCGGGCTGGCCTTGAGCTTGCAGTCTTCTAGCCTCAGTCTCCCAAATGGTGGGATTACAGGCATGTGCCACCAAGTCCAGCTTGTACATACAGTACTTTATTTCCTATCTGAAAGCAAGCATTACAAAAGGTTGAGACAGGAGAAAGACAGATCATTACAGGCACACCTATTATCCTTAAAATATTTCAGAATATGAAAATGTACATTATTATGTAATATAGTATACTCAGTACTAATAAAGCTTCTTCATACAAAACTGCAATAATGTCTAATCAAAAAATCCTCAAATCTCTAGCAACAGTGTATAGTCTAAGTGCTACATGTGATCTGAAAAGCAGCTGACATGTTCTGGACAGGATACTAGTACACGACAAAAAAACCCACAAGAACCTCAGTTATGAACATATTAAATCAAAGGGATTTAGGCTACCACAAGAAAGTCATAAGTCATTATTTTCTTCTCTGTATTTTTTAATTTTTCATGAATGGCATTACTTCTATAAATAAAAATGTTTTAAGGAAGGAAAAAAACAACGAAATGTCCTGCTTATTTAATTCTTTTTAAATTTCTTTATATAAATGCTTTTTTCCTGCCTTTTTCATTTAATTCTTCCAAATCTTACTAAAATATGAGACTATGAAACTCCTCAAAGTTTATATACACCTACACACATTTTTAAACATTGCTATTCAAGATTTATGTACTTATTTTTGATGTATATGTGTGTGCCTGCATGAGTTTAATGTGCACCGTGTGTGAAGGTGCTTGCGGAGGCAGAGGGCATTCACATCACTTAGAATTGAAGTTACAGGTGGTTGTAAGCTGCCTGACGGGATGCTAGGAACTAAACCTGGGTCCTCTGCAAGAGCAGTGATGTCCTCAACCACTAAGCCATTTTTCCAGCCCCCAAAATCTGCTTTTTATAAGAGATAAAAGAGAAGACAAGTATTTTCAAGCACACTTCAGCATACAAAGATGACCCATACCTACTGCATTCCATATCTTCAGGCCAGGGAACACCAAACATCTCCATGAGCTTTGAACACTCGCTATAGGCCCGTTGGCACAGCCTACGACAGGGAAGTGTGACACGTCCATATTCCATACAAATAGGGGCATAGAGTGCACAAAGAAATGGCCGAAAATCCCGAGAACAATCCAGATTCACCATAGGGTGGAAGGGCTAGGAAAAAGTTAAAGTTGAATAATTAGATAAGGAGCTTTATACAAGTCAAATCTTTTGAAACTCTCCAACTTCATTATCCATCTTTAAAAACCTCTGAGAGTCATTAATATTTCTAAGGAGATTATTAAAAATAAACCACTCTCAGCTCTGCCTACCCGAGGGTAGATTTGGCCAAGTTCAGAAATAAGCCAGAACTGAGAAATCCATATACATATTTCAGTATTACAGGTGATAGTAATGGAGATGCAGGCTGAGAATCACCAATGTGATCGATCCACTTTGCATTGGAAAAAACCCACACGAGATATGCAAGGTGAGGTAAAGCTCAGGAGTGGTTAACTGCTTTATGTTTGCTGGTGGAATTGTAAGGAATTTTAATTACCTCTTATGTATTTCAATTTTAACATTTTCTTCAATTAGCATGTACCAAAAAGAGAAATAGTAGAAAACGATTTCGGAAATGGGAGAACGGGAGAAGACGAGTGGTTTTATGCAAAGAGTTGGCCGGGAAAAGGTCTCTCACATTTTGCTGAAAGTTTCTTATTCTTTTTACATTAAAAAAAAAACAAACCCAAAAACCCAAAACACCTTTTAAACAGTTCTTTAAACTGAAAAAAAAAAAAAAATGTAAATAAAGCCAATGCTATAAGCCTGTACTAGGAAACAAAAGAAAACTACTGGTCCCAAACATAAAACGGTCTGAAATGCCTGCTGTAGCCACAGGGACAGACTCTTTTTACAAAGTGCACCTGGATTTCTGACTGTTCAATACTTTCCCAGTTGTCTGTAAAATAATTTGAGTTCACTGCTGATTCTGAACTAGTGACACACTCACCACTAGGCTATTCACTAAGAATCGATTAATTTATTTCTACTCATAGTACAATCAGAAAACCAAGAGTCAGGTAATGGATGTCAAAGAAACAACTGCAATGTCATCCTAACTAAGTCCACATGGAAGAACCCTATCTTCAACTAAAGTCATATTCTCAGGTCCTAAAGGTAGGACTTCATTATGGTTCACTTCAGGGTGACACAAACCTATAATGCAAGTGGTCATGGACAAAAAGATTCCATATAAAGATGCCAATTCTTCCCCTAAATGATCTCTAAAATTTCATGAAATTTCTTTTATGTATGAGGCCCCGGGTTTGATTCCCAGCCCAACCAAACGCACAGAGTTTAAAAAGCAAGCCTCATTCTAAAATTTATGATGAAGCAGAAGTGCAGAGTTTTCAACAAATGTTGCTATAGCTAATAAATACGCATAAGCCAAAAAATTAACCATGCCTTATATGGCTATCGACCTGAGTTCAATACCTAGAACCCACGTAAAAAGCTGGATGCTGTGGCACACATCGGAAATCCCAACACTCCCACAGTGAGCTGGGAGGCAGAGACAGAACTGCCTGGAAGCTCAAGGGACAGCTAGCCTGGGGTAGCCAGTGCGGCAGCAGCAAGAGACACTGCCTCAACAAAGAGGATGGCGAGAATGGATTCTCCAAAGTTGCTGTCTGGCCTCCACACAGGCACTGTGACATACATGTTCCTGTGCATGCCCGTGCACACATACACATATTTTTTAACTAATGAAATATGATAAGGTCTACAGATTGAGGCAATGTTAACCAGACAGCATACTATTAGCAATAGTAAGGTGGGAGGAAGGGAGAGAGAGAGTGTGCCTTTCAGGCCTAGTGCCAGATGAGTTCTTAGAAATGAAACCAAAAAAATCTGTAAAAAAGTAGGAAGGGCTGGAGAGATGGCTCAGCAGTTAAGAACATTGGCTGTTCTTGCAGAAGACCCAGGTTTGAATACCAGCACTCACATGGCAGCTAACAACTGTCTGTAACTCCAGTTCCAGGGGATCTGACGGCCTCTACTGACCTCCACGGGCATTGCACGACATGGGTGCACTTACATACATGCAGGCAATACGCGCATACACATAAAATATAAAATGATTTTATATATATATATATA